CCGTAGTGATACTGCCTCAGAAACCCAAGGAGGGGTCGCTATGAGTCGGGTCCGACTTGACGGCACATAACAACAACTACATATATATATATATATATATACCAAATCCATCAAGTTGATTCTGACTCATAGTGACCCCACTGGGTTTCCAGAAGTACACTACTTCATCTTTCTCCTGCAGAGCAACTGGTGGGTTTGAACCTCAGACCTTCTGCTTAAATGCCTTATCCACTACACCACCAGAGCTCCTTTTAAAACATATATGTTGTTGTTAGGTGCCGTCGAGTCATTTCCGACTCATAGCGACCCCATGCACAGCAGAATGAAACACTGCCCGATCCCACGCCAGCTCCACAATCCCTGCTATACTTGAGCCCATCATCGCAGCCACTGTGTCAATCCATCTCGTTGAAGGCCTCCCCCTCTTTCGTCAACCCTCCACCCTACCAAGCATGGCATCCTTCTCCAGGGAATGGTCCCTTCTGACAACACGGCCAAAATAGGTGAGACAAAGTCTGGTCATTCTCGCTTCCAAGGAGCATTTTGGGTGTAATTCCTCCAGGGCAGATCTCTTAGTTCTTTTAGCAGTCCATGGTACTTTCAGCATATATAGGGACTCAAATTTGCAGATTCTTTTGTCTTTAGAAAAACAAGGCATCTGCCATTGGATTAGATCAACAATATATTTATGGAAGCCATTCTGTCACACAAGCTGAGAGAAGATATGGTAATTATTTAATGAAATAAGGAGATTCTTACTATCTATAATGGAAATAAAATACATTAAAATATTTTTTAAGGAGGTCATTCTTTCTTACAGAAAATGTACCAAAGCCTAGAATAATATACCTGCTATGGAACAGAATGAGTTTTCCAACTCATGTCTCATCAACCCAAGTGCTATTCTCAATCTAGTACAAATTAAATGTACTCAAATAAATTACACAGTTCATTCACTATAATGGCTAGCAATGCCTTCTGAGGTATGTTGCTCTGAAAGTGAACATGTATATAAGATGGATATGTAGGATTATCATTTCCTAGGTTTTTTTTTTCTTTCCCCTTTCATTTCCAATGCACCTGGTGTTCATTTAATAAAACTGCTTTTGTGGCAAGGCCACCTTATCACAAGAGAGGGTTTGTCTCACAGAAAATGAGCAGCAAGAGTGCTTATGATGTAGGAGACAGTTCCTCTTTCCATTCAGTGTCAAATGGCATTTTAAAACCAGAAAGGGTGGCTACAACACCCAATCTAGTCACTACTACAAGCATTTCCTTAATATCTTTTCACCATTTCTCTTAAGTTCTTTCAGTGAGTACCTACTAGGTGCTGAACTCTGGAGGAGCTGCCAACCGAGTTCTACAGAAGCTACCATTTATTAAGTACTAATTTGTGTGCCAGGTACTGTGTTAACTGCTTTAGAGGCATCATTTAATTTAATTTAATCTGTGCACTTCATGAGATAGTAATGAGTATCATTATCCCTACTTTACAGATAAGAAGCTGAGTTTCAGACATCTTAAGTAATTTGACCATGTCATATATACAAGTAACTGGCAAAGCCAAAATCTGAATGTAGGTATGTCCCGACTAACCATTTCCCCTGAAATAATTTAAAAACAAGTCAACATGCTCTGCCTAAATTGTGTAAGTGTAGAGTTAGGTCAGCATAGAAAAATATGATTTTATAGTAAGTGAAGATCTGTACTAAGCCTAAGAGGATGAATTTGGACAAAAAGGGGGAAAGAGTAAAGCCTGTGTGTCAAGAGCAGGAATTAGCTATTTATGTAAAAGGCTATCCTTCAGGGCAAGGACCATGCTTTGCTCAGTTTTTCATTCCTTACCTGCTCCCAGTTCCTCTTGAATAAAATAGCATCCTACCACTCCCTGTCCAACTCTTCACAGGACACCTGGCTGAGAGCCTGCTCAGTTCTGGCAAATAGCAGAAAGATGGTTACTGACACTCCACAGCAGAAAGGATCTTGCTACTCTCTTTTCTCACTTTTTTGGGGGGAGTGAGGGAATATGAAATTATGGGACAAAAATGCTTGCAGAAAATCACAGTACTTGACCACATTGCTTCAAACACTTAAGAATTTTTGATAAGCAAGAGGTGGGAGCATGACTTTTGCCAAAGGGGGTTCTGCAACCATTGAGTTGAACTTTTAGAAAATGAAGTCTTCTAGAGAGAGAGCAGTTATACTTTCTTCCTGTCAGAGTCTACTGCTGTAACCAGTTAGATTAAAATGCATCATTTCTCACAGCATCATTCTGCCACAGGGTGACATTTCTCTACACATTTCTCTATTCAACTGAGCTTCAGCCTTTTTTTTTTTACAGAAAGAGAATAAAAAGAGTAAGTGGCCTGCTAGATCCAAAGTAAAAATGGATAATAGCAAGCTGACTCATTTTGAAATGCAAAAGACCTCTCCAGCCTGTCCCAGTCCTGAGGGACCAGAGATGCTTTCAGAGGTCCTTGGAAAACAGCTGCCTGATTCTAGATTCTAGCTCCTCTAAGGGCTCTAGCAAGCAGGCCTCCAAAACCTGAAGCCAGACAGATGTTAAGCAGATGCAGATGAGTTAGCTGATTTAAGACACGGTAGATTATGTGTCCTTGAGGATCACCAAGTATAGAAAAAGTAAAAATAAAGTTAGTCTGCATCATATCCCAAAATGGGTCCAAGCCATTTCTCAACCTCAGCCACAGACATGTTCTTCCTCAATGCATAATCCTCAACCTAAAAAAAGAAGATGAGAAGCAGCTCATTATATCAAAATGATATGACTTTGTACACTGAAGTTTCTACAGAATTTGCCAAGAAACATTAAGTGTATTCCATTTCTTGTCTTAATAGTAATCTACTGAGTTAAATGGACATAGAGCTTTATCTGTTTACCAAGTTGTCTTATTCTCTGGGCAGAAAAACAACATGTAATAAATGTCTGAAGCTTAAAAGATGGCTGGGGTGTATGTGAGATTTGTGTGTAGAAGGTCAGAATCAGGGTAATGGGCTGAACTCAAATTAAGACTTAAATAGGTAAATTTCTGTATCCTCCCTCCCCAGCCACTTTATTCTTATCCACATTTAAAATAAAATAGGTTCTAGAGTTCCACTGAACACAAGATGGGTACCCAGGGAAGCCACATAAGGTGAAACAGCTAACCTACCTGATCCTTGCATATTTTCCCCACAGCAAAGTACTTGGACTTCAAATGGGAGAAGTAGAGGCCTGATACTGCTGAGGCAGGTGCCATTGCTAGTGATTCTGTTAATGTAATGCCTAGAGAGAGAATCATGGGGAAAAAGGCATAGTCTTTAGAGCTCAGCAGTGCCTAGTTGTTAGCAGGTGCTCAACAAACACGAATGAAAATGAACTCAGACCTTATAGGCGGGCACATGAAATAGCAGAAAAGGTGTGACTAGACTAGGCTAACATTTCTAGACACTGTTGGTCTGCCAAGGGAATGACCAAATTCAGGACATGCAGCAATTCCCTAACACAGGGGCACAGGCTTGGAAAAGGTACCCCATACTCTCACCCCTAGTCATACAAAATCCACTACTGAGGCCCTGATTAGTTTCTAAGGCTGAGCCTATTCATTCCAGGAGTTCTAACCCTGGAAATGAGAGTCCTTCTAGAGTTACTGGGCCAAAACAGTAGTTAGAAAGAAAAGATACTTTTCTTAGGATTTTAGAACCCAAAAGAACCAAAGAGGCCAACTAGTCTAACCCATTCATTTTATGGACAAGGGTGGACAAGAGCAACACAAAGGTTAAGTGCTTTGCCAAAGGTCACCCAGTCACCCAGCGAGCTTATGGAAGAAAGGAACTTAGATCCAGATCTCATGACTCCTAGTCAGTATTATCTGCTAAACCAGACTCAACACAGCCTCACAGTTCCTCATTTAAATCTAGATTCTGTCAACTTCTTCAGAATGGATTGCATGCTTTTGACTAATTCCACTGAAAAGTGTGGATTTCTCCTGGGTCATCTAAACTGTATTAACTACACAGTAAGAACAGTAATTGCATTATAGGCACAACGATGCACCACCACAGAACCATGATTAATTCTGTTCTGAAACCTCAAAAGGACATGTGCCAATTTCTAATTTTCAACTATTTGAATCAAGCTATAGACTAAACATAACAGAATTATGGTGACTGAAGAGAATATAAATGCTATTAACCTTGACAATATAGAAGTAAAGAGAAAAGAGAGCTGAAGGAGGTGGGAGCCCTGCAAGAACAGTGTCTAGAAATGCTAGCTGTAACCAATGGAAAAAGAAATTAAGAGGAAAATGGGGCAGGAGATAGATGGAACAGTATATGTTAGTTAAATTCTCATTTGTCATTTGTAAAGTGGTAATAATTAAAACTGATAAATCTAAAAATGATGGTATGAGAATGCTATTTAGCAATATGGAAATAAACATCAGAATAAATAGCTAAAAGTAAGGATGAAAGGGGTAATGAGTTACCTTTTCTCATTATAAGCCCTTCTACATTTTTTTATTATTAATTTTATGTGCCAATACTTTGATAACACATCTATTTAAAAAAGAAAAAAACTGCCCCTCCATCCTGGGGCATATACCAGTGCAGTGCTCGATGTCAGCAAGTCTCCACATGGTGAGCTTTTCGGTGTGGTCAGGTTGGCTGGGGTAGCCAGGGGCAGGCCGGATGCCCTCATAGCGTAGTCTCCGCATGCCAGCCACATCCAACTGTTCGCTGCCATGGTAAGCCCACAGCTCTTTGCGGACCCTTTCGTGGAGCTCCTCTGCAAAGGCCTGTGGATCCAAGGCACCAAGTGTGCTTAGGCAGAAGGAGAGGCCCACAGCACCCACCCTCCCTGCACCCTGAAACAGAAGCGGCAGCCTCCTCATCTGGACCACAGCCAGGGAAAATATGCCAAAAAGGATAGACTGTGCTCTTGACTCTTTGTACCTTTCTTAGCTGTTCTGCTGCTTAGTGTTGGCTTCAACCTGAACTCTGAAGTATCACACTTAATCTGAAAACTCTAGGTCTTTTAGATTTTCCTACCAATCCTCAACTTATGCCGACCATAAAGATAAGATGGAATTTTTACAACTGAGAGTGCCCCCACTGACAGCCTCACGAAAAAGGGTGAAGACTCTCTCCATGGCTCAGGTTGCCTACTCAATGCACAATAAGATGAAGAATTTATACAAGATAATAGCATGAGAATGAAGGCTGTGAAACAGAATTTTTGTTTTCAGTTTTTCAGGTTCCCTCGGAAAATGTCACATCATAACAAGCTGAAGGAAACATCAGAAATAAGGCAAAGAGGCCAAGGTTCTAAGGGTGACAGCCAACTATGGCATTGTTGAGACTTTTTCTTTGTCCAAATGATAATGTGTAAGAGTAATTAAATATCCAGCAGCATCTGACTCAAACAAAAATAAAAACCTTAACACTTGTGCTGAGGGTTGGCTACTTCGGGCTCCTGACATGGACATTTCCCCCCACCTGTAATACCCCTCTACCACCTGGATGCTGGCCTAGGTGTACTGTGCTGCTTTACCTCTGCCAGACGGTCCCCCAGTGCCTTGACCATGATGCTGCTGTAGTCGTCAAACTCCTCTTCATAGGCTTTGCTAAGGTCTTCAACCCCAAAGCAGGCAACGGCAAACAGGCCCAGGTAGTCCCGGACACCAGTCTCCAGAGGAGCGATGAAGTCTGAGAGGCAGTGGTAGGGGTCTGTGCTGGCAGAGTCCTTCTCAGACTGAAAGGCAACCAATGGGCAGATGACAGCATTAGTGAATCCATGCTCCAATGTACACATAGAAAACAATCTCCCAGTTTTAAATGAATATATAGGCTTCTTAGAAAGGGGTGTCAGTCTCATTTCTTCATTGTGACATCAAGCACTTAAAATAGTGCTTGATCCAGTGAGCATTCCATAAATACCCAGTGAATAAACAAATGAAATGAGATTTTTAAGAGTGTATAACACAACATCTCTGGTGGCATGGTGCCTAAGGCATTTGACTGCTAACTAGAAGACTAGCGGTTCAAAATCACCAGCCACTCCTTGGAAGGAACACTGAGCAATCTACTCCCGTAGAGATACCCCCTTGGAAACCCAAGGAGGGGTCTCTGTAAGTTGGAACTGACTCAACAGCAGTGAGTTTGGTTTTTTTGGTATTATAACACTCCATGACAAGCCATAGTCAGGAAACCATTACTTGGCTTATTCATGCACCAATGGACCAAATATCCATTGAACGCCCACAGGCACCAGCTAGGAGCTGGACTCATAAACATTCACATCAAAAATAAATTTTCCCCAAAGCTTTTTTTATTTTTTCTTTCAAACTTATTGTGATTCGGGTGAAAGTTTACAGTGCTTTCAATTCAAGATCAATACTACACCCTGGAATTAGGTTTGAAAGGTGCCCACTAAATGTGTTGTTAGGTGCCACTGAGTCAATTCCAAATCATAGCGCCTCTATGTACAACAAACAGAATGATCGCTGCCCAGTCCTGCACCATCCTTAGAGTCATTGCTATGTTTGAGCTCACTGTTGTGGCTACCATGTTAACTCAATGAGGGTCTTCCCCTTTTTAGCTGATGTCCTTTTCCAGGGATTGGTCTCTCCTGATAAAATGCACACACCTTCATTTTGCATCAACAGGAGTTTAACAAACTCTAGGGTCAGTAACATATAGGCCACTGCTGTTGGTCATGGTTGGAGGACAGGAAGCAGTGATGTGTACCCCAGGGCCAGCCAGAAACCAAATTAAGCACTTTGCAGGGTTTACTTGTGGGACTCTCTTCACAGGGGCCAGAACCTATCCTAGCCCATCTCCATTTTCAGCTGAGGGCTGATGCTTCTCTGCTACTAAGCTAACAATTACAGAGTCATCTGACAATTAAGGTCTCACACATAAAACATAAATAATAAATGCATGCTGAGTCCATAACAACTTGCAACAAATATTTACAGAGTGCTTACTATATATGCCAGGTACTGTTCTAAGTTCTTAATAGGAATTAATTAACATGGTCCTCTCAATCACCTTGCCCAGTGATACTATCTGTTCTATTTCACAAATAACCAATGTGAGGCATAAAGAGCTTGACCTGCTAGGTCAAGGTCAGACAGTGGCAGGCCAAGAGGTCTGAAAGTACAGCCAATGCTCCTGATAATCACACAATCAACAAATGGCCAGCCCAGAGGATGCTGAGTAATTTGCCAGGCTTGGAGCCAAGGGTAGTCTAACCAACACTGAGCAGAAAGTGGTTAAGGGCTGTAGGTGAGGTGTTGATAATGTTACACAGAAATGTTCCAGGGTTAGTGACAGCTGGGCATGGAGGGCTCATGTCCCAGTTTTGCTCTGCTCAACTATTCTTTGCTAACCAAGCCAGAATGGGGACACAAAACTTCCTTGTACCACAAGGAGGGATAGGTCAGAGAGACCCACAGTCCTTCAGAAAGGACAACAGTCAGAGCCTGTACATAACAGAAAACTCCCAGTGTTAAGTCACTGCAGTAAGAATTTTCCAGAGTGTACTGGAAGAAACTACCTTCTTAGAGATATCTAGCTGAATAGGGAACACATGTACATGATCCAGCTGCAGAGACTCTTAAAGAGGAAAACTGAGAATCCGTCATATTAAATGCCCTGTTCACTACCTCACAGGCTGACCTGCAACATGAATGGTGCTGGATATAAAGAGATCAAAGAAAGACATGGGACTTAAATCATGAAAGAGCAAGGAAGAGGCTTTTCATCTTAGTTATACCTGTAAAAGAAAGTCACCAAATCCCTAGTAAGGAGGAGAAGGACTTACTACCAGAATTCTACTACCTTGTATACTGTGTCTGAGCCTACTGCAAACACAAAGGACTTAGCTACCCTCGTTTAACACCATGGTGTCTGTTTAAGGTTCCAAATCTAAGAGTCCCTGCAGATCTTGTTCTGGTTAAATATCTGGATCAGGAGGACTCTAGCTTTTAAATGGAGCTGAGATTCTGTGCCAAAGTGGGCAAAGTATACAAACAGCACCCCTTAGAGAGTTGAATGCCCACACGGCCCACAAGCCATGAAGGAAAGTGTCATCATGAACGAGACCGAGGCTGTGATTTAAATACCTGACAGTGGTAACACAACTCTATAGGAATAATCTACTGCAATCCTTTGCTAATGATGCTGGTGAATCCCGATTCAAATTCTTGATCAGGACAATTACTTTTTATAGCCACTAAAGGGATACATGGGAGCTCTGGTGGCACAGTGCCTAAGGCATTTGACCGCTAACCAGAAGACCGGTGGTTCAAACCCACCAGCCACTCCTTGGAAAGAAGACTGGGCAATATACTTCAGTAGTGATACTGCCTCAGAAACCCAAGGAAAGGTTGCTATGAGTCAGATCCAACTAAACGGCAGTGAGTTTAAAGGGATACATATATAAGATATTTAGATACTTTTTAGAGTGAGGAGACAAGAGAGGGTTCTGTGTGTTCTCTAATTCCCCAAGGAAGCTGATGTAATGGAAGAACAGGCTGTGTCTCCCCACTATGTTGGATCCTGGACAAGCTCCATCAGCCTCCTCTTCCTCCTCTGTGAAACAAAACCAGAGATTGCCTGACAAGCGACTGTGGCAATTAAGCAAGGCATATCATACCCTACAAAGTACCAGGTACACTCAGCAAATGGTAGTTCCTGACATCTTCCCCCAGATGATGGCCTATTTAAAGAATAGATATATACACAAACCAATGCTTTTGAACAAATAAATGCTTAAAAGAATCACTTAATATTACCAATAATAAGCAGCAAAGAATGCTTCTTTATAAATCACTGAGACCATTGGTATATGACTATCTAAGGCAGGAGCAAAATTTCTCACCTATCTGTTGACACACAGTAAACACCTCAACCCCTGCTGGTGCAGGGGTCTTTACCTCTCAGGTTGCCCCCTACTCTCCTTCCACCTAACAAAACTTCAGTTCTTTGACTAGTCATCTGGGGTGAGGTGGGGGGAACAGAGACAGAATCTTACTCATATACAGCTCAGATTTCTTATTTAACTCTTTTTTGTTTTGCTCTGCACTTAAGCCAAAAATCAGAGGCATTGTGTTCGTGGTCAATGTCTCTTTTCATACCTGTTGCCGTAGCCCATAAAAGGTAGCTATGGGCTCTGCAGCCTGGGGCACAGCGTCCTCTGCATACACGTGGATGTCATCCTGGACACTCTGTGCCGGCCAAAATCCAACCACACCCCTGGCATGGAGGTTCTTTTGACTAATCAGGGCTTTTAGCATATTCTGGGCATCATCAAAGACTTTTTTGGCTTCTTCACCTATTAGGAAAATACAGTAACAATCACTTAATAATACCAATAATAAGCAGCAAAGAATGCTTCTTTATAAATCACAAACCCATACCCACTCCCACCCCATTAGTAATCTCTCTTTACCTTCTGTTTTCCCTCAAATACCTCCTCAGTGTTTGTCATCAGCATGACATTTGGTGGAGGAACTAGGGCTCAGTGGTTCCTCCTAAGTGCAGTCCAGCAGTCTGTTTCCCAAGTTCAAGCCACTTAAAATTTTCCATTTAACAAAAGGCAGAAAGCCAGATCTGTGGCTCTCAAAGCAGCTGATCAGACAGAGAGAAAAGACAGGCCAGATTCCTCTGTCACAGACATCTCTTATGCACATATAGTTCCACCGACTTCACAGTGATCTTGGTGGACATGAAACAGGAAGTGAAGCGTGACCTAGAACCCTTTTGAGTAGCTTCAGCACCACTACCATGTGGCCTCAGCTCAAGGGAGCTCCCTGGTGGGTTCCATTTGCACAAGGGAGGCCAGACGCTAAGGATGTGCCCTCTCATTTTCCATTTTACTGGGAAGCCAGCCGAATTCTCAGTTCCTTCTATCCAGGGCATGGCCTGTCCAGCTTTGCATATGTGGCCATCACAGGGTACTAATGCCACTCTCCTGCTTGCCTGTGGTTGCTCAGGAATGACTATAAACCAGAACTCCCTTTCCCACTGCTGCACTCCTAGCTGGCTTCAGAGCCTTGTCTTCTCAGCATATCAGCACACGTACCAAGGATCTCTCCAAGAAACTATGAGAGGCCAGCTGCTCAGCTTCTTCTCAGCCACAATCTCTTATTTCTACCAGTCTTCCCTCCATCTTCTTATAGGCTATTGCTCAATTCTTTGAATGGCTTGACATTCTGATGCCATGTCTGGGAGTAAGTTTTGGGGTAGGGCTAGAACCTAGATAACTCACCATAAAATGCACTTTATTTTTCCTTAATCGTTAGATAATTAGCAGCTTATATATTCATTCACTTCTCTAGCTTACCTGCCACAACTGCCCTCCTTGTATTGATGCTCAGGCATAGTAGACTTGCAGCTCCCCAGATACTACATATCTCTGTACCTTCTCACACCATCTTCTCTGCCTGGAATATTCTTTTCTTCTACGTCATCATGCCCCCAGTGCCAGACTCACTTAATCTTTAAAAAGCAGTTCAAACACCACCAACTCCAGGAAGCCTTCCTGGACCTTGCAGTCTGAAGTCTATCTTCCTTTCTTGTTTCCAAAGAATCCTGTCTAAGTTCCAGAGCGCATCATGCTACACGGTAATGACCCACTTACTCACTGGCTGCACCAGCTTGTCAGTTACCAGAAAGCATGAATTATATTGTATTCTTTTGTTTACCTCTAGTGCCTCGCACAGAGCCCAGTGTGTAACTGATGCCAATAAACCTGTATTAAATGAATGAATAAACGAGATGTCAAGCTGAGTCTGAGCAGGTAAACAATATGAAAGCAGCACTATCCTGCATAATCCAAATCCATTGCTCATTACCTATTCTTGCTTTCAAAGTTCTAATACTACACCTTCAATACCAGTGGCAAAGAGGAAGAACTTACTGAACTAACCTACTGCCTTGTCGTTAAATATTTTGGGGAAGCCTCGGTTAGGGTATTTTCCCCGGAGTTGCCAGACGTCAAAGAAAGGCTTCCAGTCAATGTAGTCCACGAGCTTCTGCAGGTCATAGTCTTCAAAGACCCGTTTCCCAATAAATGTGGGCTTCACTACAGGAAGGAAATACTGGTTGTCAATGGTAATGCCTGAGGCCTCATGCTGAGCAGCCTCCCACCTGTGCATTGCCTACTAGAGGCCTCCCCCCAGTTCCTCAGTTGCTCTGTGACTCCCACGCTCTGTCTCACTCCTGTCACTTGTAGGAGTTGTTTTACAAAGAGGGGAACTTTAAATTAACTCAGAGAAGGAGCAATTCTGCATTGAATCTAAATAAAATTATTCATCCATGCAGCTGACTATATCAGTCTTGGAAACTCTTCCCTCAACTCTTTCAACACTAAGCCCCTCCCAAGAAAAAAGAAACTTTGGGGTTAATCTTCACTTGTATAAATTAAGAAAATAATAAAAGCCACTGCAGAAAGGCATGTATACTCAGTCATTTACAGAGTTTAAAAACATGAGACAATAATCTATGTAGTCTGCTACTACATATATACATTGTTGTTATGTGCCATCGAGTTGGACCCAACTCATAGTGACCCCTCCTTGGGTTTCCAAGGTGGTATCACTACGTAAGTAGATTGCCCCAACTTTCCTTCTGAGGAATGGCTGGTAGGTTTGAACCGCCAGCCTTCCGGTTAGCAGTCAAATGCCTTAGGCACTATGCTACAAGGGCTCCTATGTATGTACACAGTACAAGTATAAAGAAATGTAGAAATGAAGCATCAAATTCAGGGTTGTGGTTATTTCTGCAGGGAAGGAAGGAAAATGGGACCATAGAGGAACACACAGAAGACTTTCACTTCATGTGCATTATAAGTGCCAACTCCCTGCCGGCTTTAGATCCCTCATGGCGCTCAGTAACCTGAACTGTGTGAAGTAGGAATCAGAGAGCTTCCTATATCTATCAGGTGTTCTGGGATAAAATATTAGTCTCAAGAGAATTTTTCTTTCATTGATGGTAAAAAGTCAGAGGTAAGGGTGCTATAAAAGAAAAGTGTGAACAGCTAATGAATTTTGCTTGACACTCTGTACTTGTTTCATACTTATTCATAGTAACTTTTTCCCATTTGTCCTTTGGCATCATTTCATGACACAAAATAATCTCTTCTGTATAAATATTCTATTACATTGTTTTTTGGGGGTAATATAGTTTGTATAGTCCCCTTAGTAAACAAATGAAAATGACAGTTCAGATATCATTCTGATTCAAGGTTATTCTTGCTCGGAAAACCAGACAGAAACACCTTACTTCAAGAAACTGACAGACTTTTTATTCTTCAGTAAGCTTATCTGCAGGCGTTTAAGGTTTATATGAGGGTTTACCACCAAAAACTATGAGAAAAGAATCCTATTTTCTCTGCTTCCAGTAACTACCCTAAGACTGGATCACCCTCAAAAACATTTCTGAGGGGGGCTTCTCAGGGGACAGAATAGCCCTTCAGGTGGCAGGTGCAAAGCCTTTTGATGGACTTGCACGAGGTACTAAAGTGGCCACTACAGAAGAGTCAGCTGCCTTTGGAGGACTATTTCCACCAATATATGTTTTTGGATGTTTATCTTGGTTAAAATGAACTTTCCCTTGTGTTACTATTCCAATTAGATAGTGAAAGGTGAAGAATTAATAATGAACGTTTAGAGATACACAGTGTGTGATGGTTACATTTGTGTGTCAATTTGGCTGGGCCTGGTTGGGCAGCTGAATGTAGTTATTTCCCATGGTGAGATTGGTAATTAACTCCATGGTGGACTCTATTGGAGCAGCGGAGTAGCTGCTTTGGGTATGTGGTCAGCTTCCCATATATAAGAAACAGCTTTGGGAATGGTCTCCAGCTTATAGCATGGTTGAACCCTGTATGTAGCTGTGTTGCTGTTCAGCAGCCTGCCATGTTCTGCTGACCTTGGGATTTTCAATGGACTTGAATTAATGGACTGCCGTGTGGTTTGGTAACATCAAAACTGTTCCAATTCATTTGTTGACCTTGGGCTTGTTAGCCTCAGCAGCCAGTAGCTGCCTGAGTGAAGAGATGCCTCTAGCTTCAGTGGGCTGGGAGCAAGAGGCAGAGCTGAAGCCCAAAGTTGAGGGGCTTTCACACAGCCCCTAGAGCCTGGCACTTTAACTCAGACTTCTAGCCTCCCAATGTGTAAAGAGAACAAACTCTTATTTGTTCAAGCATCCCATTTGTGGTATATTCTCGTCAGAGCAGCACTAGGTAACCAAAACACAGTGATTCATATTTTTCAAAAATTTTTACATATTATCTTATTCTCAATTATTTTCATAAAGTAACTCCTTCTTTAAACATTAAAAACTGTCAAGTGTGGAAATAAAATGCTCAAAGTCTCTCACTGAATCAGACTCAGCAGCAAAGTGGGGATTAGAGCCCAAGCCTCCTGACTCCCAGTCTAGCATTCTTCCCACTAAACCACACTGAACTCAGCAAAAATTAAATCAGAACCAAGATCACCTATGTTTCCAATTTCATCTCCTGAACTCTATTGAGCATGTATAGAACACAGATGTCATCATCAGCAATGAATGCTAATTTGAGATATTACCTTGAAAATATGGATTCAATTAATATAATACCTGTACACCCTGTCTTGGTTTTGCTTTGTAGCACATGCTTTTCTGAGCCTGTCAAAACATCTTACATATTCTATTCCCCTCTGAACACCTATGTAAAGCAGGAAAGGTGGCTAGAAATAATAAAGGAAGAAATGAAATAGAGGGTGGCATCCAGAGAAAGAATGAGCAAGAGAAAAAGAAATAGGGGATCCTGCCTTTGCTGAAATGTTTTAAAAGTCTGTTAAATGCTAAGACATCTTCAGTTTCAGACATTTCATGTCTGTACCTGAGCTGGACACAGACCTTGATCACCTCAGTTATAGCAGCACCTAGGCAGGTCGACGTACAAATGAACAAGCACAAGTTTAGAAGACAGATCAAAGAAAGACTCTTAGTAATCTTTTTGAGTCATTAAATTTCCTTAAACTGTTTCTTCAAATTATTATGGGGATAATATCCACATTCATTAAAGAGTTGTCTCAAGGACCAAGTGAGCTGACATGGATAAATCTCAGGAAAATGTCTGGTCCATGATAGGCTCTCTACATGTGATACTTATTTACTTTTATTTTTGATTACCATTGTCATCATCATTGCTAGACACAATTAATAGTTTGATTTTGTAGCCAAGCAAGCACACGTATCTCTTCAGCATCAATTATTACATCCATTCTTTCTCTAATCACCAGCCAAACAGACCTGGGTGAGGTTCTGACATCCAATCAATATGGAGACCATTTTTTCTGGCTTGACTTAAAGTTAAGTATCTTCTCTCCTATTAAAAAAAAAAATTTTTTTTTTTAAGTTATTTAGTCAGTGTTTCTGAGCTTTTCAGCTACTGCTATGAAAGCCTGTTCAAGAAAGCCACTACATAAGCTTTGCAAGAAAATAAATGATTTTATTAATGAAAATCATTATCTGAACAAGTGCTTCCTTTTCCTTCTACCATGGCTTCACATCAGCACCAGACCCATAAACATCTACTAAATATTGATAATGAACCTGAGGCTGACTGGACAGCCTTAAATCTGAGGTAAGAAGAAGCTGAGGTGGTTAACTGGCTTGTCATCTAACACCTCTCAGGACAGGAGGCAGATCAAAGAAACTATTAAATTTTGGACAAAATTAAGGAGAGGCAAAAAAGGTGTCTTTTTGTTAGTACCCCAGAAATGTTTGTTTTCTTCATGCTGTTTGTTATCTCATTTCACTTGTCTAACAATTTCCCAGTATGCTCCTGCCCCAAGAGCCCAGCAGGCAGATAACCAGGAAGAACTACCCCAATGACTTCTAAAGAATAATTAAGCAACTCTTGATTCTCTGAAGCTCATCTAGAAATGAACAGTTTTTGATACATTACTTACACACAGCCAGTGTTGGGCAGTGCAGGAGCAGAAGCTTACAATGGTCCTGTCTAATGTCTTCATTTTCTTATATTATTTCCTCAAGAACAAGGGCCCATGGGAGTCATTTCAATACAGCATTTTAGTTTCTGTTTTCCTGCTCTGTATGAGCTCATGTTTTATCCATTAGCATAACTCTGGTATCTAGTACAGCACTTAACACCTACTGGGTACCCAACAGATGTTTGGCTGAATAAATAAAATTAATTTTAATATAACCAAAAAACTCTGGGAGCTTAGACATTAAAGAATTCTGATTTGAGCTAGAAAATAGGAATTCTCTTAAACGATCCTAAGCCTTTACCCTCCTCAAAACAGTAAATAAGGTCAAAATAAAAACTGTGGCTTCACTCTGTTACCCAAGCAAATACCTGCTCATTGTAACAGAGCAAAGATCTGTTTCTTTCATTTACCTTGAGAGATTCATAATGGTCCTGTCTAATATCTTCATATTCCTCCATGATTTCTTCGAAGTATTCATCCTTTAGATTTTCATCTAATAGTTGAGAACACTGAAAATGCAAGATAAACTTTAATAACCATAACAAGTAGCGTAACAAAAAAATGTGCAACAATGATCAGTTCTGGTGGCATTCCCTTTAGAAAGCTTTCCCCATACCATTTCCTTTCCCTCACCATCTTTGCCAATTCCTACCTGAGTTAGGTACTACTCCTCTTCAGTGTATCAAAGATGGTCTGTGCCTTTCTCTATCACTACACATACCACCCAAACCAAAAAACTAAACTCACTGCTGTCAAGTCAGGTCCCACTCACAGCGATCCCTCCTTGGATTTCTGGGGCAGTATCACTACAGACGTAGATCGCCCAACCTTCTTACTGAGAAGTGGCTGGTGGGTTTGACCTGCCAGCCTTCTGGCTAGCAGTCAAATGCCTTAGGCACTACGCCACAAGCTTCTATTAATGTGTTTATGAATCTCCTTCTCTAAAGGATAGATACTAGAGAATAAGCTCTTCATGTCCTTGGTTCCTAGCTCAGTGCTGGGCAACACACGGCACATTCTCATTAATTATTTGCTGAAAGAATTAGGTTAATCTTGTGGTCAACAGGACCTAGGGTGATCCTCTGCTAAAATAAGAAAGGAAACTGACCATCTCAGAAATTTGAGGCTACTCAGTAAGTTATATAGCCAGGATCAAGTGAAGATTGCTTATGACTGTGATTATCCAGCTGGTAGAAGCAAAATTACCATTAAAAGGTAAAATAAATTACAAAGAAAGAAAAAAAGACTAGCATTGATCACCTCAGTTCAAAAATCAAGCACTGCCCCTCTATTCCCTAGAGAGATTTCCTAAAATACACACACACACACACACACACAGAAGGCAGGGAAGTTCAATATCATCATCTAAAAGTGTGGAAGTTAAGCTACATGATGGCTAAAATGCCTACCCATTACTATGTTGCTTTTCTAAATATCTCTAGTAGCAATTCAATTCCCTGTGAATCAGTAAAAAAACCAAAATCACCTTATTAAGGAATATGATCAGATAATATTATTGTGGCAGGCTCACAAATGCAACAAAGTATTTTCCAGCCTTGTATTAATTCACCTCAGTGGAATTCTCATTTAAAGAACCCAGCAGAGGTAAAAGAGGACAAAAAGGGGCAGCTATTCCTAAGCACCTCACAGTACATGCAGCCAGTGTTTTAAAACAGTGCAGCATTCTGCTAGATTATGACCTCTGAGAAATCAACTTAAATGTCCTTAACATCGAAAGAAAAATTATAGTACACTATGCATAAGGTGGGTGCTCTGGTAGCATAGTGCCTAAGGCACTTGACTGCTAACCAGAAGGCTGGAGGTTCAAACCTACCAGTCACTCCTCAGAAGGAAGGTTGGGCAATCTACTTCCGTAGTGATACTGCCTGGGCAACCCAAGGAGGGGTTGCTATGAGTCAGGTCTGACTCGATGGCACATAAAAACAACAACATGCCTAAGGCATCTGACTACTAACTAGAAGGCTGGCTGTTCAAACCCACCAGCCAGTCCTCAGAAGGAAGGTTGGGCAATCTACTTCAGTAGTGATACTGCCCTGAAAACCTAAGGAGGGGTTGCTATGAGATGGAACTGACTCAACAATGGCAGTGTGTTTGGGTTTTTTTTAAAAAAAATCATTACAAAGGTATTATCAGGTAGACAGAATAGCCACTAACTGTCTGTCAGTACCTTCCACCCTCCCACAAAACCCCCTGCTCCAGAGCCACAATGAGAGCTCATTCAAATGAGTTACCACTCTGGCCTAGGCTGACTTGTTGGATGGCAACAAATCCATGGCCAATAGATGGCTATCTTACTACAAAAATGTCAAAATCCACCATTGTGTTTTTATGCCAATGAAGACCAGTGGAACATATTACAGTTATTATTTTCTTTCTTTTGTTTTGTTTTTCATGACAACATTTTTACCTCCTACAAGAGTAGTCAGAAAATATTAGCAGCATGAGAAGAGGGAATAAGTTGAATAGATATTTTATCATTTAAAAAGAACTAAATACTGGCACCTTTTTTTAAAAAACTAAAAAGAAAAGTGAAGGACATACTTAGGCCTAAACCTCCAGCAAATAATAGTTTGGGACATAGTTCTGTCCCATATTCACTGCAGTTAGATCAAAAGACTCTGAACTGACAACCAATGTAAAAAAGTTACACCATTTACTCCTGAAAAGTGTCACTAGCAACTACCCAAATGATTGATCATCTGACTTAGGTCTGAATAATTTCAAAAAGTGGTCATTCTTTGTTTATGAAAAGAGCTACACACAGTGATGGCTGTCAGGCCTAATTGTTACCAGCCTAAATCAGAATGCCTAGTACTCAGCCGGCATTCAGCTTGGCCCCAAAGTCTCTAACTCTTAAGAGTGAAGGAGCTTGCTTGTTCTCCACAAGACAATAAAGGAACCAATTCCTTCCCAGTTAAGTGTGTATTCTACCTATAGGAAAAATATTACCACTGGGTATTTAAAAAGGTCCAACAGCCTTATCAGCAAATGGAAAAATATTCAAGGCCATTCATTAGCATTTGAAAACAGCAACAAGGCTTAAAAAGAGACCCAAATGGTTATTAAATCATTAAGCTCCTAAGAACCACAACTCAAAAATGAGTTCTGAAACACTGTTTTAAAATTGAATTGTATAAACTTATTTATATATTAGTCTCTGCCAGTGGCAAATACAAAATTGCAATTTTATGATTCCAGCTTGATTAAATTTTATACTTTTTAATAAAGGGGAATTGTGAAATGTGAATGGGGGCAAGTTTAAGTGGCACTGAGTGAAACTACCTGCACCCAAACACCATGCCTATCACTTGCAAGAATTACTAACCTCTTCATCTCTTCTTTTCACCCTTAAAATGGGTATGATAAAAGTTCTACACCATGAGGTTATTCAGAGGATTAAGTAAAATAATTCATGTAAAACACTTACCATAGTTCCTGGGACACTGTAAATATTCAGTAAATGATACTGATTAGTGTACATTTATATTAAAAAATTCACAGATTGAAAGAATTCCCTTGGGAGATGGCTCACATGTCTACACCTGGTAATTTTACCTGTCACCAGGGCTCCTCAGTAAATTACCTGAAAAATATGAAGATTGGACTGGATCCAAACCAAACAGTTGCTGTGGAGTCAATTCTGACTCATGGTGACCCCATGAGTGTCACAGTAGAACTGTGCTCCACAGGGATTTTAATGGCTGATTTTTGGGAAATATTTCACCAGGTCTCTCTTCCAAGGTACCTCTGGGTAGACTTGAAACTCCAACCTTTTAGTCAGCAGCTGACCATATTAACTGTGTGCACCATTCAGGGTCTCTGGACTAGATCAGTGGTTTTCAAATTGTGCTTCTGATGAGAAGTAGGAGTAGGATGAAAGGCAAGGGCTTCTCTGCTCTTATTTGTACCCTATTGAGCTTCCAGGTAAGATTTCATTTGAACAAAAGGTTCTGTGGTAAAATAAACTTGAAAACCACTGAACCCCACAATCCCTTTCCCTTAGCTGTTATATTCTATTATTCTATTATTCACTGAAACCTGTCCACCATTGTTGATCCTGCTGGTATTTGAAATACTGGTAGCATAGCCTCCAGCCTCACAGCAACATGAAAGACACCACAGTATGACAAAGTGACAGATGAATGGTGGCAACAATGAACCATATAATAACATAGGATATGTAGGCTCTAAAACTTAGGGTTTGCTGAAAGAGAAAAACAGGGAACGACAATTGAGTACTCTGTTTATTATACTCACTGAGAGAGCTATTATATCGGGATTTGAATAGCTAGTGAATGTTTCTTTGTCTTTGGGTAGGGTCAACCAGCCTACTTCCAGGTTAAGTGCTTTTCTATCTGGAAGGAGATCATTTAAAAAATTTTATACACCCTTTGAAGGAGCGCTGGTGGCATAGTGCCTAAGGTATATGACTGCTAACCAGAAGATTGGTGGTTCAAACCCACCAGCCACTCCACAGAAGGAAGACCGGGCAAATTATTTCCAAAAAGACTTACTGCCTCAGAAACCCAAAAGGTTTGAGTCGGAACTGACTTGATGGAAGTGAGTTTGGTTTTGGTTTGAGCTCTGACAATGGACTCAAGTAAGTGAATATTTGTATTTGTAAATTGCTGAAATATCTCTCTGGATTATACACATTTTCTGTAAGGCCAAAGTGTCTTTTTTGGTACCACTCATGCTTCTCAGACCAGCCTCATCCAACCGCTTGTATACCCACACCCCATGCCTATCACTTGGGAGAGTAATACTGTAGAAGATAGTATTTGGAAGCACAGGACAGACTCATCTGGATTTCTTTCCAGCAACACAAGACACTATAGCAGCACTACCACAAGCCTGAGGCTGCTGTTTTACCTTTTTAAAATAGAATTGGACAGAAATAAATAGAAGATCCTCAGCAACAACCTTAATTCTTAATGTTTTCTTTGTTCTTTCTTCACAATGTATCTGCAATAAAATGTCAAACTCCATACTCACCACCACCACACTCTTGGATGCATCCAGGACATGGATTACAGGGGCACTGTATCTTGGAGCTATTTTAACTGCTGTGTGGGTTCTGAAAAGAAGGATCAGGAAGAAAAACGTAACAACCAGTAATGACAGTTCCCACACAACCCTGTTCAGAACCACTAGAGACATGTTTCCACAGTGATTTTCAGACAAAAAAGTTCAAGGTACTTACAAATACTGAACTTAAAATTCCCCCTGTAAAACAAGAACACCTTTCTCTCCACCCTTTTGAAAGATGGGAAGTCAACATGCAAAGACAAGAACTGACTGGCCCCAGCTATCAAGGATTCTGTGACAAAATGAGAAAGACCTTGTCCTCAACTTTCTACCACCTGGTGACTGAGACTGTGATCTCATGCTAATTAGCAACTGGTCCGAACTCAAGGAAATAACTTGTCCCAGGCAACTACACTTTGCTGTCATAAAGGTGGAATTGAGTTTCTCTCTCCAAATGAACAGGGACAGCAGCCAGGGCCCCTGGGGCATCAAAAGCTAGGAGAAGAGGCACTGCTGCCACAGGCTATGGCTTTCCAGCTCTATTCAAAGGGGACACCAACACTCCTTGGTCCCATGGCCATCGTATATTTTTAATCAGGAAGCCTAAGCCCAAAATTCCACGCATAAATAACATAGAGGCAAAATAACAAAAATACGTTACTCTTAGGCTGGCTCAGCCCCAAACCCCTATTGTCAAACTTGACAGTACTAAGAAACACCTTTAATCCTTAAAATTACTTAATTAACTAAATAAAGTACAAAACAAATTATGCTCTGATTACTGAATATTTATAGCAATAGCATAGGCTACAGATCTGCTATTTCATAATACCACTCATCCGCTGACATCAAGTTGATTCCAATTCCTAGTGACCCTATAGGATGGAGTAAAACTCCCCTATAGGGTTTCCAAGTCTGTAGATCTCTGCAGAAGCAGACTACCTCATCTTTCTCCCATGGAGGATCAGACCACAGACCTTTTGGTTAGCAGCCAAATGTGTTAACCACTATGCTATCAGAGCTCCTTATTTCATTATAGAACGTAACAAATTAAGGTGAGAACTGAAAATACATATGCCTTCCAATACAGTAGTTAAGCCAGGGTTCTGAAGTTGGGAAAGGAAGTGTGCACTTTGCCATAATTCCCATCTCTTCCTTCCTTCTCCCCTAAAGTAGGAGCACACTTCCCCAACTCAGGCACCCTCATATTCTCTCCTCAATGAAAACGTATTTGTGTTAGGAAAGATGTCCAGAATATACTAAAAAGAGAAAAAGAAAAAACAAACAAGTAGCAGAACAGTATATTTAACATAATTTAATTTTAAAAAACAAACACCATCACTCTCAATCTGCCCTAGCCAATCAACCATATTTATAAGCTTCTGTATAGTTGGTTAGGGAAGAGATTGAAGGTGGGTTGGAAGACATTAAATTCCTCTGTACATTCCTTGGAATTGTTTGACATGTTCCAGTAAGAGTGTATTACTGGCATAATTTAAGAAACATCAACAGCGTATTAAAAGTGTAATATGTACATGAATTTGTTTTTAACAGGATTCTCAGGAAAGGTTTTAAAAACTCATTTATAATGAGACAGACAAGACCACTAAAAGTCTGTTCTCTGTTTTTAAGATTATCTCCATGCACAAACAGGAAACAAAAGACTAAAGCCTTCAGCCATAGGAACAGATCTGTAAAGTGGAAGTTTAAGTATAAACCAGTTATCATAAGAGAGACATATTCTGCACTGGGAGGCTGGGGTACAGAAAAGCAGGGAGCCAAACCATGGCCTGGAGTAGCCAAATGAGGACCTCCTTTGTGCCTACTGTATGCAAAAGAACCAAGATGCTAAAGATGATTTTGCATTCTGTTGGGAGAGAATTTTCAAACAGTAGGAAAGTTAATTAAAAAAAAAAAAAAAAAAAGCTACTTCCAGTTACAAAATAGAACATAAGCTGGACTTAGCTGGCTTTCTCATCTTTAGATAATAAGTTCCTTGAGTGCATGAATCTGTCTCAATACATATTCTGCATAGAGCTACTCAAGAAAAAATTACTTTAAGTTTAACATAGATGAGGTTACCTTCTCCTAAAGAAACTCAGTTACCATTTAAAATTTTAAAGTAAACACAATATATTAAGTATCCCACATAGTATAATTCTAGCCTTTCTCTTTGATGATGCTCTGGACAAAGCATTGAGAAGAAAGTAATGGATTTCACTATTTTGAAAATAAATAAAAGCAAAGTGCTGCTTTCCAACATAAAAATGAACAAAGCGAGATGAGCAGAGACATGCAATTTGAGCCTGCTTATCCTGAGAGTCCTTCTGGTCACTTATAAAATGGACGTGGATCCACTTAAGTGGAAGTCTCACTGATGCAGACTTCTGTAGCTAGAAAAAGACTTCTTTCTGAAGTCTTAAAAGATGCAAAACATCTGACTCTCTCCTCTCCTTCCTACAAGCCAATAGCAAAGTGCTAGAATCTGGGTCTGAATCTTAAGTCCTAGCTCTGCTAAGGCAAACACTGACATTCAGGATCCATACAATCAAGTCCCACACTTGACAAATGGGCACAGTAGTGTTAAACTCAGAAGAGAGAAACCTGAGATCTTTTTAAAACTCAGGTAAAAGAGCAAGTACTCTTACCTGTATTTCCTATCATACCCTACTCCTGAAATGATTTAAGGTGTTTTGCTTAAATATAGCATGATCAAATAACTTAAGAACTGATGAGAAAAACTAGAGAAACAAAAACTAAGATGGAATCAGGAGTGAGATTAGCATATCAAATTCATTCCATGAAACAGCATACACAGGCCTAAGCTCTGAGCTTCCTTGTGGTCAAAGCAAAGAGAAAAATAAAATCAGTTATGTGATTCAGCACCATACTTCCTATTGACTAATATA